CCTGAAATTCCAAGTGGATCTGTGAAACTGAAGCTTGGAGTCCAATTCTCCCTTTTTCTGGTCACACAGAAGAGATGGCTTCTCCAGGTCCACTAAGACAGGGTCAATGTCCAGCTATCCAGGGAGAAAAAGTCAAGATGCTGGCCCCAGGGCTCTGGTCGTCTTATCTCAGACCCTCCTTGCCCCTGGGGTGGTATTGGGAGTCGCAGAGATGAAACTGCTTACTCTAATGGATGCAGCAAAACTGGAGTGCTAGCTCTGCTCTCTCCAAATCCAGAGCTGCATTGAATTTCTAAATGAACAGAACTGCCCTCCTTCAGCTCCTGACTGCCCACTTTACTGGAACAAGTATGACACCACAGGTCCCAGGGCCTGAGCTGCAGGAGGCAGAGGACTTGGATTTAGGGTGAGCTCCACATTACGAAGCTCCTCTCTGGGAAAGGCAGGGCCCACTCACAAGGCCCTGAAAAGAGCTGTGCTTCCCATCCTAGGCAAGCTGTAGGGCCAGACCCATGGATCCTGTAAAAGGAAAATAAAAAGCTACGGCCAAGAGGACAGGAGGCATGGCTGCCACCCCTCAGGCCTTCACACTCTCAGGATTCCCAAGGCCTCTGCACCTCAGGAGAGAAGAGAAAAGAGGGCTGGGGATTTAGCTCTGTGGTGCTGCCACCTGCCTCAAAAGCGCAAAGTCCTGAGTTCAATACCTAGTACCAAGTACCAAAAAAAAAAAAAAGAGGGGAATCTTCCTATTTTTTTATTTATATTTTTGTGGTACTGGAGATTGAACACAGGGCCTCTGCACTAAGCATCTCCAGCTCTTGTTATTTTGAGACAAAGTCTTGCTAAATTGCCCAGGCTGTGCTCAAACATGTGATCCTCCTGCCTCAGCCTCCTAGAGAACTGGGATTACAAACATACATAACCATGCCTGGCTATCTTCCTCCTTTTGTTGAAGTCTGAGATAGTGGAGAGCAGAGAGTGCGTCAACCCAAGGCTTAGACAAATGGCTGAGCCTCTGACCTGAGCCCCACAAGACAGCCAGACAAGCAGCACTGCCCTGAGATTTTGCTGTTAGAACAGAAAGGAGCCAGAGGGAATTCAGAGGGTTCACCTGCTGTAGGCCTCCTTGTCTCAGAGAACCTAGATACAGGAACAGGTGGAAATGACTTCCTGTTACCATTCTACACTATAATTCCTTATAGGGTACTGTGGGGACCATCTGCACGTCCCAGAATCTCCTAGCTGCAACTGAATTAAGGCCTCCTGGAGTATCGACAGAGCTCCCTCCCCCAGCAGATGTGTGGTTCAGAGACCACACTGACCCTCACCCAATCTGAAGCAAATGCAGTCAACATTTCCTAAATATGGTGGACTGAACAGGAGATACCACCCCTCCGATCACATCCCTACCCTGCCCCTCCATGCTCTGCATAATTGATGGCCAGTGAGACAGCTTCCCTCCCCTGGGGTGACAGAATGTCTGGGCCAGGGGCTCCTATCCCTATCCCCCAAAGCCCTGGCGCCAAGGCCCAGCTGGAGGGCAGCGGGACCCAGCTGGCAGGTCTGGAGAAAAGGAAACAGGATGGGAGTGGGAGTGTTCACTGGGACTCCCTAAGGACCCAGCACACACACCCCCCTTTCTGGGTCAGTTTGGAAGAGCTGTCATTAGCCTGAAATGGAGTGGGCGTGGACAGGTCCTGGCTAGGTTCGCTACCTTTCCTTTGGTCCCAGCTCTTGCTTCCTCAGCTACTCCCACTGCCCTAAAAGCCAAACAGGGGAAATGGCTTCTCTCCCTAGCTGCTGGTCTTGGATACCGGAGAGGCCTCTGGGGAGGCGCATGAACTGAAGGAAGTCTTGCTGCAAATGTCCCTGAGCTTGTCACCCTCTCTGTGCCTAAACCTAGTTGCTAACCAAATAGATCATAGTTACAAAATCCCTTAAAATAGCCAGATGTGCTCCTCAAAACTCAGCTTCTACACAGAAAACAAATTGATGGGACAGGTGATCCTGTTTTTCATTACCCTTTCATCTCCATTTTCTCAAGCTCCCCTGCGTAAACAAACGAAAAAAACAGCTTTTCAATCCATCCTTCAGGTTTGACCCTCCGGTGCCTCACGTTTTGGCTTCTGTGTCTTCTGCTAGTCCTCCTCTGGCTGTGCCCTTCGCCCTTTCTGTGTCCTGTCTTCCCAGCTCAATTCCGTCTCTGTGGCACTGCACCCCGAAGGGCACCCCAAGACCCCTCTCTCCAGCCCCAGTGCTTTCCCTTCACCCCACGCCCCAGCCGAAGATCTCCGCAAGCGGGGT